CGAACTGCTGTGTCGTCGTTCCTCTGGCAAGAAAGGTGGAGATCCGTCAGTGGTTGCCGCAGGGGACATGCTAGGAGAGGATGTGGAGGGTGATGGCACCGGGGATAGTGCAATTGCTGCCACAACAACCTCTTTACCACCCAGATGAGAAGATCCAAGATTGAAAAGGCTTAACCGCTGTAGCAAACAGTGTGTGTGTGTGTGTGTGTGTGTGTGTGTGTGTGCGTGTGTGTGTGTGTTGTCATGTTCCCTATAGACAGCTCCACAAAGGAAAGCAAGACTGTGCCAGACTGTTTTGTCGGACTTTCACTCTGTGTGCGTGTGTATGTGTTGTATGGTAATCACCACAAACAGCACCCCCGCACTCCTCCCGGATTTCAGGAAAAAAACATAAAATGAGTGCAACGGTTGGTGACGTTTGTGTGGTCGAGCGCCAACTGCCCACATGGTCGTCTCGATTCGTCTGCCTTGACCGCACACTTGAACGCTGTAAAACAAGGAAGACTGGGAAAAGTGATTTACTTACCAGATTAAAAAAAAAAAAAAAAAAAAAAAAAAAAACACAGGGCAAATAACAATGGGTAAACATGGTGCAAGGTTGGCCACATTTGTGTATACCTCCTCACCCTTCCTCACCTTTACTAGAAACAGTGACTTCTCCTCAGGTAGTTCACCGTAGAGTCTGTGTAGACAGATCCCACATGAACTGCACAGATTGGACAACAACATTCAACGATGAAGACAAGTTGAAGAGAGAAGACATGCAGCTACCGACGCAAACAAGACTCCCACGTATGTTGGCCAATCTGCTCCAGTATGTGGTCACTCTGATCAGTTGTGATAACCATGCTCTCTTTGCTTCTCCAGCTAACACACATCATGCACAGTTGCCTGACCATAGGCTGAACATCAGAAGAAGCCACACACAATGCAATGCATGACAATCGAATTACACCATAACATGGATCATAGCGACCACTGTTTTGGCTCTCTGCAGCACCACCCAAAATAAGAAGCCCTATCACCAACAGTCTGATCCATGTTTGGTAATCAAACAGTCAACAGAGAGAGGAGCATCCCATGCTCCTCTCTCTTCCTATCGACAAACAACAGTCTGCA